CACTCATCTATTTTGTCTATTTTTGTTTGTGTAGTTTTCAAAATGTTTGGTAGTCTGTGTATTTCCTAAATTAGAGCCCTCACATTTGTCCTTATTTTTTTCATTGATTCTACGTCTTACTCTTGAATTCAAGTGCCGTTGAGTCGGTTCTGACCTATAGTGGTCCTATAAGGGCTTCCGAGGCTGTAAATCTTTACAGGAGCAGAAAGCCTCATCTTTCTTCCATGGAGCGGCTGGTAGTTTTGAACTGCTGACCTTAAGGTTCACAGCCCATTTCGTAACCATAGAGGATCCCAGCAAAATGAAATATTTCAAAACTTCAATATTTCTTCCATTCATCATGATGTTATTTATTAATTTATTGGTGAGGATATTTGTTTTCTTCACATTGAGGTGCAACCCATACCGAAGACTGTGGTCTTTGATCTTCATTGATAAGTATTTTAAGTTCTCTTGACTTTCAGCAAGCAATGTTGTATCATTTACATATCACAGGTTGTTAATGAGTCTTCCTACAAACTTGACGCCAAGTTCTTCTTCAAATAATCCAGTTTCTTGGATTATCTCTCTTAGCATAAAGATTGGGAAAACATGGTGAAAGAATATAACCCTAGTGCACACCTTTTCTGATTTTAAACCATTCATTATCTCCTTGTTCTGTTTGAACAACTAACTCTTGGTATATGTACAGGTTCCTCATGAGCACAATTAAGTGTCTGGAAAACTCACATCTTCACAGTGTTGTCCATAGCTTGTCATGATTCATACAGTTGAAAGCCTTTGCATAGTTACTAAAGTACAGGTAAGCATTTTTCTGGCATTCTCTGCTTTCATCCAAGATCCATATGTCATCAGCAATGAAATCCCTCATTCCACATCCTCATTTGAATCCAGCTTGAATATCTGGCAGTTTCCTGTTGATGTACTATTGCAGCCATTTAAAAATTATCTTTAACAAAATTTTGCTTACATGTGATGTTAATAATATTGCCCAATGAGAGTAGGGTTGCAAAAAAGGCTTATAAAATTGTTGCTGTTAAGTGCTGTCAAGTCAGTTCTGACTCATAGTGACCCTGTGTAGGGTTTCCAAGGAGTGGCTGGTGAGTGTGAACCTCTAATCTTGTGGTTCAAACTGAACTTGCAGTCCAGTGCTTATGCAATAGCACCACACCAGGACTCCCCGTAAAAAATTACAAGATGCCAAATATTGGACAAATTATGCTTATACTAAAAATGATTCATTTTTTTTCTTAAATTCAAATTAAATTGATTGTCCTGCATTTTATCTGGCATTCCTATTTGATAGTGAATTACTATTGAAAAAAGATGTGGCAATATGTGAGTCTGCAACTTCTTATTTGTTTTCTGTTGGTTTATGCATGTAGCTCATTTCTTTTCACAGGTATAATGGAAACTACAGGACTATCTTTCTCAATATATTTTGTTGTCATGCTCCTCCTTCAGGTGGTAACAGAAGCTTCAGGTATGAATCTCTCCCCCGCCTTTATGAGCTGGGAAAATTCTAAGTAAACTCAGAAATAGCAAGGAAGAAGCCGTGATAAGCCCTTTTAACCATTGTTCCTCAGGTTCAATCCTTGATTTATATTGCTTAACAAGGATGTATATTGTAGGATCCATTCTATGCTCAGGAAATATTTCAAAACATCAAATCTTTATCAAGGGCCCAGATTGTTTTAGGTTTTAAATAAAAGAAACAAATGAAGACCTTGCTCTAAGAACTTAACATTTATACTGAAGAGACATAATTTACATACCTCTTGTATAGTGAGAAAGTGGTTTGAGATGTGGGTTCATATTAGAATGCATATAATAGTAAATGATAAACTATGTAATAAGAAGGATTCATGTGTCCTATCTCACACTCAGTTTTTGGTTGCTGTTTTCTTTCTCAGCACAATTCACAGTGAGTGCTCCAGAGGGCCCAATTGTTGCTCCATTAGGTGGAGTAGTTGAGCTCAGCTGCCAATTGTCCCCACCACAGAGTGCAGAACACATGGAGGTGCGCTGGTTTCGGGATCGCTACACACAACCTATTCACCTGTACAAAGGTGGTAAAGACCTGTATGGAGAAACTCTCTCTGAATATGTGAAACGAACTGAGTTCCTTAAAGAAGCTATTGGAGAGGGTAAAGTGACTCTCAGGATCCTTAATGTCAGTGTTTATGATGACGGGCAATACCACTGCTTCTTCAAAGATGGCAATTTCTATGATGAAACCATCACAACACTGAAGGTAACAGGTAAGGGTGAATTTCTCTAAGGGTTTAATGTGTCCAAAATGCTCAATCAACTTGATGCTAAGTATTAATAAAATTCTCAATATATCTATAGATTTCCATATTACATGGTTTAATATGCAAGTTCAAGTTCATGCATTAAGTTTTGAACTGGGAAGAGTGGAGGATCAAGAATAAAAATTTTATCTGTGCAATCATCACCTCTATCAACTATTACTGTCTGTTAGGCACTGAGATCTGTAAAGGATCAATGGAATCCTGTTAGAATTTATTACTATCCTTCCAATTATTCCAGTGCATTAGTAAAATGGCTTTAGAAACAAATGCAGTCAGTCAGTCGCCAGATGCCTGTGTCTTTAAGAATTTGTAGATCAAGTTAGACCTGGTGCGTGTGATTCTTATTTAGCCTTATTTTAATGAAAGAAATGACTCAAAGCCTTTTCAATGATTTAAAATTTGTACATGCAGTAAGTGAAGATGAAGGGGATAGTGATAGCGATGAAACAGATTTTGTGATTATGGACTGATTCAATCACTTCAGTGTGAGGGCAAATTTCCATAATATTTGGGGCAAGTAGTAGTTGTTTTCAATCAGGCATTAATAACCCATGTGTTACATCAGTCTTTACAATAGCCTACTTAATGATAAGTCTCATCTCCATTTCTCCCTGACTCAATTCATTGACCACTTCGTTCAACACGAATTTTCATCAAATAATTTAAAAAGCCATTCTCCAAAATGTTCAGTACTCTTCAATATTAATGCTATATACTCTTATATATGTATGGTTTCTAAGGAGTGGCTGGTGCTTGACATATATGGCATACAAGTCAAGCACTTCACCCTTGAAGTATTCTACATAAGAAAACAATAAAGGAGAGGTAGAGGACTTGCTGTAACTTAAGTGCTTCATGTTCTGACACAAGAGTGGATTCTAGGCCCACTCACTCTAGGCAGCTATATTTGATTTTACATGATCCCAAATCCATAGTCTAGAGTTGAGTTGTCCAATATGATGTCCACTAGCTATATATGACTATTGAAATTACTAAAATAGCTAAATAAAATAGAAAATAAATTTCTTCAGTAATACTGACCGCATTACAGATGCATAATAGTGTCATGTTGCTCCTCTGTTTGACAGTGTAAATCTAGAATGTTTTATCTTTGTAAAATTTGTACTGGACAATAATGCTCTGGAGTAGCACTTTAATTTTCTATTCATCCTTTCTTTGCCCATACATTGGTGCAGTCCTATGACCCATTCTCCTGAGAAATTTCAAGTGTCTATTTTCTTTCATGTTACATATGGGGTCCTAGTGTGGTGCTGTAAGATAAGCACTGGACTGCTAACCACAAGTTTGGTGGTTCAAACCCACCAGTTGCTAGGGTCGAAATGAGTCAGAACTGACTCAATGGCACTTAACAACAACAATGTGACTTATACTGTCTTATTTTGATTGAAGTTTGTTTAACAATGTGACATATATTGTCTTGTTTCAGCACTTAACAACAACAATGTGATATATTTTGATTGAAGTTTATTGTTTTTGTGAAGTGCTGTCGAGTTGGTTTGGACTCATAGATACCCTGTATAAGGTTTCCAAGGCTTTAAATCTTCAAGGCAGCAGAAATCCTCATCTTTCTCCCTTGGAGCTGTTGGTGGCCTCAAACTGTAGTGCTTATCACATTGTGCCACTGCATTCCATTGATAGCAGTATTGTTTACCTTTATTTTGATATCAATAGAATTATGGAGGAGTCCTGGTGTGGCACTGTGCATTAGTGCGCTGGACTGCAAAGTCGGTTTGAACCTCAAAGTTGGCGATTCTAACTCACCAGCCACTCCTTGGAAACTCTATACAGGGTTGCTATGGGTAGGAACTGACTCAATGGCACTTAACAATTACAACAACAACAACAGTATTACGGAAGGAGTCCTTATGTGACACTGTATCCTGCTGGGCTGCTAACTGCAAGGTCAGCAGTTGAACCCCACCAGCCACTCCTTAAGAAACTCACTATAAGGTTGCTGTGAGTCACATCCCACTCTACAGCACTTACATACAACAACAACAGCAACACGTGTTACAGAAGGGAGCTCTGGTAACATAAGTGGTTACCATTGGGCTACTAACTGCATGGTCAGCAGTTCAAATCCACCAGCTGTTCCATGGGAAGAAGATGAGACTTTTTACTTTTGTAAAAGTTTATAGCAGCAGAAACCCTATAAAGGGCTGCTATGAGTCAAGTTAGACTCGACAGCACACGGCAACAGCAGCAGCAGTGTTTACCTGGTGTGGCACTGTAGGATAAGTAATAGACTGTTGATTGAAAGGCTACTGGTTTAAACCCACCAGCTGTCTCTTGTAAACTCTGTACAGGGTCCTTACGAGTTGTTCTGGCACTTTACAACAAAAGTCTTTACATAAGGTATGCAAAAACGTATTGTATTAGAATATCTATTGTATGCAAAAAAGTATACACATTAAAGTAGAAAACTTGTATTTCAATGCTTAATGTTTATTTATAATTTGTTATGGTGGCTCAAAATGACCAAATGATGAAGGTACAACAAGCATTAAACCATAAATTCCACGAAAACTAACATATTGATGTGGCACTGTAGGATAAAACTGGACCCCAAGGTTGGTTTGAACCACAAAGTTGGTGGTTCAAACTCACCAGTTGCTTCTCAGGAATTTTATATAGGGTTTCTATGAATCAGAACCAACTCAATAGCACTAAAAACAACAACAATATAATCCAATGAGTACTGGTGAAGCATGGTAGAATAAGCACTGGACTGCTAACCACAAGATCAATGGTTCAAATCTGCTTTCATCAAGTTTCTTCAGAAATCCTATACAGGGCCACTATGAGTCTGAACTGACTCTATGGTACTTAACAATTATATTCCAAAGACCTAGTACAGTTATCTAGATTTAGTAAATTATCAATAAATATATTTAAACAGTTTGGAGCATATAGAGGATTCATTTTCCCATTTGACTTAAGATCACATTGTTAATTTATAATAATATAAGCCTTCAGCCTGACTCAAGCCATGGTATTTTCGATAACCTCATATGCATGCAAAAGCTGGACAGTGAATAAGGAAGACCATAGAAGAATTGATGCTTTTGAGTTATGGTGTTGGAGGAGAATATTGAAAGTGCCATGGGCTGCCAAAAGAACAAACAGATCTGTGTTGGAAGAAATGCAGCCAAAATGCTCCTTGGAGGCTAGGATGGCCAAACGTTGTCTCTCATACTTTGGACACATTGTCAGGAGAGAACCAGTCACTGGAGAAGCATATCATGTTTCGTAAGGTGGAGGATCAGAGAAGAGGAAGACCCCCAGCAATATGTATTGGCAAAGTGGCAGCATCAATGGGCTCAAGTGTGGCAACAATTGTGAAGTTGGCCCAGGACCGGGCAGTGTTTCGTTCTGTTGTACTTAGGGTCACTATGAGTAGGTATCGACTCGATGGCACCTAACAACAACAAGCCTTCAGCCAAGCTTCTTCAGTTTCCCTTTGAGCATCTTTTCATAGAAATCAGGGTGTAGTGCTGTAGGATAAGCACTGGATAGTGTGAGACCTAAAGAAAAGACTTCATTTTGTACTTTGGCTGGAGCATGTCCTCCTGTTCCAGGAATGTGCCAAGTCAGCTCGTGCTGCATGAGAATAGCCCTCCACCCCTAGCAAACAGTACAAAGTAGATAAACATAACCAACAAAGGCTGGATAATGTATGTTTTCCTTTACCCTAACCCAGCCGTTCAGGCCACCAGTAATGACCAATCGAATTGTAACACCCCATACCTTGCAAAATGTAAACCAATCCTGGAGTAGCTCAGCTGAAAACCCCCGAACTTGCTTGTAACCTCTATAAAAACCTCGCTGACTAAGAGTTCGGGGCTTCATCCCGAGTCCGCTGTGTCGGTTACTGATGAGGCCTGAGCTGGAGCTTGAATAAACAACCCTTGTGTGTTTGCATCAGCATTGGCTCCTTGGTGTTTCTTGGGGACCTCAAAATCTGGGCATTACAATAGCAAGGTCAATTTGAATCACAATGTTGATGGTTCAAACCCACCAGTTACTCCTCGGAAACCCTATACAGGGTTGCTATGAGTCAGAACTAGCTAGAAGGCACTAGTAACAAAAACATTCTTTTTCAGGACAGTCAACCACTCAAAGCTAGGCTACGAATATGTCTGGAGGTACAGTGATGGAGTGGGGGAGCTTTTGTTTTTAAGTTTTACTTTTCCTTGCTTCCACCTATAAATACTACTAATTTTTCCCTTTTATCAAACAGCTACAAATTTTGAAACACAGATTTTTGTGCATCATTCTAATACTAAAGGGACCATAATGGAGTGTGTTTCAGGAGGCTGGTTTCCACAGCCTCTAATGGAATGGAGAGATGACAGAGGAGAGAGAATTCCACCTGAATCAACATCCCATTCACAAGATAATGCCAAGTTGTTTAACATGAAGATGACTCTCCTCCTTAAACAAAAGTCTCATGGAATTGTCACTTGCTATCTTCAAAACCCTATAACTGGTCATGAGGAAAGAACAAGCATTGTCCTATCAGGTGAGGTCTGCATGTTCATTCTTTAAATGATGACATTGTCATAAAATGTATAAACTTAAGAATAAAATTAACATACTTCCTTCCCTCAGTTCACAGAACAGAGTTTTCTCTTAGTTTTACTGATTTACTTGCTAGTTTTCTTCCTTTGTCTCTTTTGCTAGTTTATCATATTCACTTTATCTTTTTAATGATAGTGTTCCTTCCCCAAGTCATAGTCTTTGAATCTTTTCTCTTTTATTTTGACTTTATCCTATTTGATGTTTTTAAGTACAATCATTTGAATATTGACTCCTCAAATGATATAACTTATCCTGATCTCTTTCTCCATATATTTGACTTCATTTCCTAATATTATCCTAAATCTACCCCAACCATACAGGATGTGCCTCTGTCTTGGAGCCCTTGGTCTAGCTGTTTCATGTTCCTGCTGTTGTTAGGTGACATCTAGTTGGTTCTGACTCATGGTAACCCTATGTGCAACAGAAGGAAACACTACTCGGTCTTGTGCCATTCTCACAATTGTTAAGTTTGAGCCCATTGCTGTAGCTACTGTGTTAGTGTTTTTTTTTAGGTGTCTCTCTCTTTTTTGCTGACCCTCTATCTAGCATGATGCCCTTTTCTAGATGGTCCCTTTTAATAATATGTCTAAACTACATGAGACAATCTTGCCAACCTTGCTTCTAAGGAACATTCCAGCTATACTTCTTTTTAAATAAATTGGTTTGTTCCTTGGGGACTCCATGCTATGTTCAATATTCTTCACAACCCAGTAATTCAAAGACATCAATACCCTCTGTTTTTCAATTGTCCAGCTGGCAAATGCATATGAGGTGCTTGAAAATACCATGGCTTGGGTCAGATATAACTTAGTCCAGAAATTGACATCTTTGTTCTTTTGAATACTTTCCAGTGGTCTTTTGTAGCACATTTACCCAGTGCATATGTCATTTGATTTCCTGTTGATGTATTGCTGCAAATGTTTTTTAATGATTTTCAGCAGCATTGTACTTGATTGTGATATCAATGATATTGTTTAGTAAATTCCCAGTTCTATTTGGTCACCTTTCTTTGAATGGACACAAATATGGATCTCTTCCAGTCAGTTGGCCAGGTTATTGTCTTTCAAATTTCTTGGCATAGATGAGTGAACACCTAAAGCACTGTATCAGTGTTGAAAGATTTCTATTGGTATTCCATAAATCCCTGGAGCTTGTTTTTTAGTAATACCTTCAGTATAGTTTGAATTTCTTCCTTCAGTAACATTGGTTTTGATTATATGCTGTCTCTTTTAATGTTTGAACCTTTTTTTTCTATAATGACTGTGCATTTCTAACATCTTGTTATTATTATTATTTTTTAAAGTTTTTTTATTGTGAATTGAGTGATAATTTACATGGTAGAGCATCAGCTTTACATTCATCCTATTGTATTTTGTTTCATTGCAGATTTCAATCCCCTCCATGTATCATCATTTAACAGCATTTTCTTCCAATCCCTCTGTGTGTGTGTTTATGTAAACTGAAGAACTCAGGAATATATAACCATTCAAACAACCAAAGGGTATACCCTGCACACACACACCCCAGCCACCAGCACACAGCCCCTCCCCTCCTTGAGTTTAGAGTCGCCAGCCACTCCATCTCTCCACATCATCGTCTCTGCCTCCATCTCTGGCATTGCTGCTTCTCTGGATAAGGTCCCGCACTCCACTCTTCTCCCTTGATGGTCCCAGGGTCCTCTGCTCCTGGATTGCAAGATCAACCACTCCCCTCCTTTTGTTACATTTGCAACATTCACAATCAGTTCAAGGCTTGATTTGTCTTCGTTTTTTTCAGCTTGAGAAATGCTGAACATGTTCTTCTTTTTTGGTGTTCTAACTCTTTAAGTATTTGCACATTTCATTATAATACATTACTTTGTTTTCTCAAGTTGCTCATTGAAACTTTTTTGTTCATCTCTTTTACGCCATCATTTCTTCCATTTCCAGTATCTTTTCTTCATTAAAGAGTTAATATCAGAGTCTCTTTTGACATTCATTTTGGTCTTTTCTTTCTTTCCTATTTTTTTAGCGGCCTTTTGTTTTCCTCGTCTATTATGTTCTTGATGTCATCCCACAACTCTTCTGGTCATTAGTTTTCAATATGTCAAATATATTCTTGAGATGGTCTCCAATTCAGGTGGGATATGCTTATTTTTTTCATCTTCAACTTGAACTTGTACATGAGCAACTGATGATCTGTTCTACAGTTGACTCCTGACCTTGCTTTGGTTGATGATATTGAGCATCTTTATCATCTGTTTTTCTAGTATAGTCAATTTGAACTTTGTGTATTCCATCTAGCAAGGTCCAGGTGTATAGTCACGTTTTGTGTTTTTGATAAAAAATAAAACAGGTATTTGCACTGAATTTCATAAGGAGCTCTGGTAGCATAGTGGTTATGAATCGGGCTGCAAACCTTAAGGTCAGTGGTTCGAAACTACCAGCCGCTCTGTGGGAGAAAAAGGAGGCTTTCTACTCCTGTAAAGATTTACACCTTCGGAAACCCTGTACAAGGTCGCTATGGGTCAGAACCGACTCAATGGCACTTAACAGCAACAAAAAATATTAACAAGGCCATATGTTCCAACTACTAGTACTTCTTTGTTTTCAACTCTTATATTCCAATCACCAGTAGCTATGAATACATCTTGATTTCATGTTTGATCAGTTTCAAACTGAAGAAGTTGGTAGAACTCCACAACTTTATCTATTTTGTCTATTATTTTATACCCTAAGATCTCATCAGAGCCAATCCTGAGACTGCCATCCATGAGACTCCTCAACTACCAAAAGGAGTTAAGATATCCAATATTGTGCTTGTTTGTTCTCTTCATAATCTGGACATATTTGTATGGTATCATTATTTGTATGGTATCAAAGACAAGGGAGGCATTTCATTTCAACCAATTCTAATCAGTAAATCATCTTCATTTATCTCTACCCCTGGTTCAAATATAAGAAATTTTAAAAAAAGAAAAGAAAAAAAAGCAGAACTTGAAGTGAAATTCTGCTTTATTATTGGCAAATTCCATAACCCAATGGGGCTTGTGTTTATGGTTTATTAATTTTCCATTTATTCTGTGCTTTTTTTCAGATGATCTGTTTAATATGGGCCATAATTATTTGGCAATTTTGCTTACTATTCTATGTGTGGTGTTTCTTTTTGCTGCAATGTATACTTTAACTTTGAATGGCAGAACAAAAGGTAACATATAATAATAAGGATAGAGTCGTTGAAGCATTTCTTCTAACTTTATGCCCTAACCTCATGGGGTATTTAGGCAAAGCCAAAAGCATGACGTTTGTCTCCCAAAACCATTGCTTACATAGGATGTTATTAAAACAGTTTTCTTAATTTAAATGTGTTGAAACTTCAAACATATCAATTTTGGGCTTTCTAAGACATTGATGTTATGAAGAATGAAGTAAAATGGGTGTTTTTGAGTATTTCATACCCACCATTGGATGCATTTGTTCTTACTTAATAATTGATTATGTTTAAATTGAGTGGACCCAGCCTCTGCATCATTCAATTTTATTTACTGATGGATGAATTTAGTCAGTCTGGGTGTTGTTGCTGCTAAGTGCCAGCAAGTCTGATTTCAACTCATAACAACATGTACAGGGTTTCTCAGGAATAACTGGTGGATTTGAACCACCAACCTTGTAGTTTGCAGTCCGGTGCTTCTCCTACAGCACTTATTTGGTTACAATCTTCCATGAATTTTCAACTATGAAAGTTCTTCCATTGAAGGACTTGTGCAAACATAGTATGAGAAGAGAAAGGTACATAACCTAACAGCAGGTTTTTACTTCTAGACTTCTGTAAGGTTTAATGGTTAAAATAACTGAATATGCAGCTCTTCTTAAATGATTCAGGTACAATACCATAAAATATTCTTACAAAAAAATAGGTATTCTTGAGAAAAATTACAAGATGGTGAAAGATGTGAATTTAGAGTTTGGGTAGACAATTTAATGTTCAATATAAACGAGCTCTGGTAGTGTAGTGGTTTCGAATTGGGCTGAGAACCACAAGGTTAGCAGTTCGAAACTACTAGCTGTTCCATGGGAGAAAGATGAGGCTTTCTGCTCCCATAAAGATTTACATCCTCAGAAACCCTGTGAAGGGCCACTATGAGTCAGAACTGACTCCATGGTACTTAACAACAACAACATAATGACATAGGTCATCAGCATAAATAGATTCAAAGTGATAAACAATGATAAAATTTACCATGAATCAAGTCAAAGGAGAAGTTAGAATCCATCTTGCTCATTTACTACCTAATCCATAAACACCTACACCTGCACTGTATCTATTGTCTACCTTATGTTTGTTGTTGTTGTTATTGCTATAGCAACAGTTCCAATTCACAAGTGACCTTATGTGCAACAGTCTGAAACACTGCCAAGTCACAATCTTTGTTACACTTGCGTGCATTGCTGCTGTCACTTTGCCTGTCCATCTTGTTGGAGGGATCTTCCTTTTTCACGTTGACCCTCCCCTTTACCAAGCATTATGTCCTTCTCCAGGGATTGGTCACTCCTTATAACATGTCCAAAATAAGATAGACAAAGTCTCCCCATCCTGGATTCTAAGGAGCATTATGGCTGTACCTC